CTTCTGAACGCGCGGTTTTATTTTACAATACGACGCCTCCTAGCGCGCGGCGCCGCCAACAAACACACAATTGCCAACGCCTTCGTGTTACGGGATTCCTGTTTTCTCGCGCGCTCGCACAATATAATATGGGCAGAGCGGTGGTGGCTTGCATTTAAAGACGGAACCCAGTTGTGCGAGTCGCCGCTGCAATGCACGTATCGTACTCTTTATCGGCAAACCATTAATCATCTTCTAATCACGTCTGTCTGTCTGTCTGTCTGTTTGACGCACAGACGCACGTACGCAGGAACGAAAGCAGAAGGGACGCACGAACGAACGGGTGCACGGATAGGCGCACAACAGGACGGATGAATGAATGGATGCATGGATAGATGCATGAATGGATGGACACATGGATGGATGGACGGACGGATGCATGGACGAACCAAAGCAGGAATGAACGGACGGCCGGAAGTACGGACGGAAAGACGGAAGCTTGGCCCTATACATCATCACCTACTCCATACATATGCTGTGTTTTATGATTTATCATACTACAAGTGTAACAAGGTTTATGGGGCCAGTGTAATGGACAGGCAGAAGACTGGTGATAGCGACAGGACAAGAAAAAGTGGTGCTCGAGCGCCGATCTCGTGGTGCCTTTTTCTGTGAATATGCTTGTTATACCCTTGTGTTGTCATCATTCCTTCATTATAATTGCCCCTGCCGAAAAAATGAAGCCATCCTAGCGATCTAATAAGTGAGAACGAGTGGATCGAAGTACGGCTTCAAGCGGTCCACGCGAACAACATCGTGTCCATGGCTAACGATGGCCACCGAGCGGCGTAAGCGGTTCAATGGCGGAATTGGCGGCTGATGGGCGCTCTACCACGTGGTATAGACCATGGTAATTCAAAATCAGCTTGGTAAAAAAACCAGGTGCACGTGGTGGTAGATACAGCCATACAAGTGTTCCAGGTGTGAACTTCGCGGTAGGAGGGTGCTCTTCATTGAGGGCCTCTTTCTGCGTTGCTTGCCAGCGTTGCTCGTTGGTCGTTGATGGTCAGTCGCTAGTTGCGGCATTCTTCAGCGTGACGGGAGGCTTCGGACAAGGTCTTGCACTCAGATGCATCTGGTGCGTATGGCAGCACACTGCCCGATCACTGAGATATTTGCAAAGAGGGTCATGATGTAGCACAAAATAATTGAGGATGAAAGCTGCGACATCCCAAGTGCTCGCTGTAGGAAGAGCAGAAGTTTCGGCGTACCGTGTCAGGTTATCCACAGCAACAATAGCCCACCGGTTACCTGCCGTGGACAATGGCAGCGGTCCATATAGGTCAATTACTACGCTGTCAAATGGGTGGTGGGTGCACGCAAGCGGCTGTAGTGGAGCTGCTCCTGGATGCGGTGGATGGATTCTTCAGCGACGACAGCTCTCATAAGGCAAGATAATCTGCAACTACAGTGAACGTGCGGCCATATAAGTATGGGTGAAACTTGACAAGTACCCAAACAATCGTCAAGCACTCTTTTTCGGCAACACTGTAGTTTACCTCAGCGCTGGTAAGCGTTTTGTTGGCGTAGACAATGACACACTCAGTGGATCCAGGCCTGCATTGACCGAGAACTGCGCTGAGAGCGACACCAATGGCGTCTGTATGGATCTCTGTTGCAGCCTTGAGATTATAGTGTTGCAATATAGGCAGTGATGTCAGGAGACGGCGAAGAGTGGCAAATCCGTGATCACAGTTGGTAACCGTGTCAAGACGTCGTTGACGCTGCTTAAAATTTGGGTCAGAAGGGCCAATGTGGAGGCAAAGTTGTGCACAAACCGCCAAAGTAGGAGCATAATGCTAAGAAGCTGCGTAATTGTTTTACAGTCGTCGGTTTGGGGAATTCAGCAACAGCCGGGTCGGGAAAAACGCAATCTTTTGGTACGACGTGACCGAAACGGTGAGCTTCCGAGCAGCAAAGTGGCAATTCTTGAAGTTCAGTTGGAGCTGAGCATTCTTGAGACACGTCAGAACTTGTTCAGGCGTACAAGGTGTCTTGAAAAATTTGGTGCAAAGGTGACGGTATCGTCAAGGTAGCATAGGCATATGTTCCAATTCAAACTCCGCAACCGAGTTCATCATGCGCTCGAATGCGGCCGGCGCATTGCGGAGGCCGAAGGGCATGAAATTCAACTCATATAGCCCATCCGGTGTCATGAAAGCTGTTTTTGGACGATCGGCATCTGCTAAGGGCACATGCATACACCCCGAACGCAAATCTAACGATAAAAAAACTTGGCACCGTGTAAGCAATCACGGGCGCCATCAATTATGGGCAAAAAGTATACGTCTTTGCGAATAATCTTATTTAAGCGCCTGTAATCTACGCAGAAGCGAATTGAATCATCCTTTTCAACAAGAACTACAGGTGACTGCCATTGACTTTGGGAAGGTCGGATAATCTCACGATTGAGCATATCGTCAACCGTTTCGGTGATAACCTGACGTTCGGCAGCGGAAGCACGGTATGGTCATTGTCTTACTGGCGCGTTGGAAGCTGTGTCAACGTAGTGAAAAAAAACTGTAAGTTCAGCCAAGGACAGGTTGAGCCACGTCAAAACATTCACAGAACTGGTAGAGCAGCTTGACATGCTCAGAGCGTTCAAATGGCGATAGTCCGTTGGTGATCAATGAAGTGAAATGCTCGAAGGTAGTAAATTGGAAGGGTTGAGGGCACTGATGGCATCGTAATCCCTGGCACAATATGGCGGCATGGTTTTTCTTTGTCAATAACATGTACGTTTCCAAGAGATTCACCTTGAAACAGTTCAACGCGATACGGAAGGGAATTAATGAGGCAGAGAGCACTGTTTCCTTCAGAAATGGAGAGGGTTGAAGAAGGCAGAAGAACTGATTTTCGAGTAAAGAGGAGGCTTGATTGTTCCAAAAATGCAGATTCGTCCGTAATGCCGTCATATTCCACGGGGAGCAACACAGTTATTGTCGGACGAATTTGAGTGCCTTCTTTTACGATGAGTTTGTGTGCGGTGGGCTGAGTGTGGTCGGTTATTTGGTCGCAAAACGGGAAGAGTCTAACATCAGATCTTGCACAATAAATAACGGCGTAGTTACGAAATAAAAATGCTGTCCAAGTATTTTGTCGTGTGAGCATGATGAAAGAACAATAAACCCCACAGTGTAGGGGTCCTTCGCGATGATCAGCACAGCAGTACACGCGGCTACAGGCCGATCAGGTTCCCCATTCGCTGTTAGCAAGGAAATCGTATCAAGAGGCGTAGCCACTTTTTGGTGCTTGCGGCAAAGTTTGGCGTATATCATGGAAAGAGCAGCAACGTTATTAACAACAGCATATGGATGAGTACCTTCTACAAAAATCGACAGTATTCGACGCCAATGTTCGAGGACTTGAGTATTTCGACAGCGGAGTTCTCGCCTCCTAAACTGCAGTGGTTAGTTACCCTTGTGTACAGGAGTTGGCTGACGACGCATGGGTGACAGGAAGCGATGACGGGGTGAAAGTGAGTGACCAGACACGGTTAGCGGATATTCCCGGGAAGACGCACTTGACTGAGGATCTGAATTTGCCAGACGAGATGAAGGAAGGTCCATGAAACTGCTTCGTGTCGGCGAGTCTGTGTATACCGGCACGCTACGACAGCAGTATCGGGCCATTGGGCCAGAACCATCGCATACAAAATAGATTTGCCGGTTATTGCACGTTCTACAAGCGTTTGCGGCCAGAGGAGCAGCCCATGCGTGTATGGGTGAGTTGAGGCTGGGCTAGAAATAGGAGGATTCTGCGGTGGACGGCTGAGTCGGTGTTGAGGTATGCAATAGTTCCTTAAATGATAGGGCTGGCGTAGCTGCTGCCGTTCTAGTGCCTCAGCGTAAGTAAAAGGTGCGATGATGGGGTGCTGCTGAAAAAGCTCTAGTATAGCCTCGGAAATATGCTCCTGGACCACTTGTCGGAGAATGGGCGCCATTTGTAGCAGGTGTCGCAGCGGCTGCTTTTGCGAGAGCTCCTGGCGTTGAACAATAGGCAGTAGAGAAAGCTGTCGAGCCACTTCCACTCACGTGAAGTCCTTCATTTGTGCGAGAAGGTTTCTCTGGTCAGCCATGACGTCGAGTGCGGTCACTGGTTGGATCTTCTGGAATGAACGTTGCGTCTGAGCTCGTTTCATTCTCAATTCATCAAAGCTCTGATACAAAGTCACAACTTTGGCCACAGTGCTAGGAGACTTCGCGAGAAGCATCTGGAAAACGTCATCGTCGACGCCATTCATAATGTGCTGTATCGTGGCACTCTCGCTCATGGAGCATAGACGCGCGGGCAGAGACCGATGACATCATTTATAAATGAGGTGAAAGTTTCCCCTGGCTCCTGTGCCCGTGTGCGCAGACGTTGTTCGGCGCGTAGCTTGCTTCGCTCCCCTCTCCATCATTCACCCTGTAGATAGGCTGTCATTTTTTTTATTTATGATTATCGTGCGCGGGTTTCCTTCTCAATTGAAAACGGTGAGTGTGTGGAAGTCAGGCCGTGGACATGGCTACTACTTCTACTACTAGTACTACTACTACTACTACTACTACTACTACTACTACTACTACTACTACTACATTACTACAAACATCGCGGACGCACCCTCCATGACATAGAGAGCTTCGCCCCCCCCCCCCAAAAAAAGGCTTTTGATTCGTGACATGAAATATGCTGGTAGGCAGCGGCTATAATAAAGTATATTTTATGAAAACTCATTGCGACAAAATTTCCGTCCGGTAAGCGTTCTCTGCTTATGAGATGTCCATTAGCAGGTTTTTGCATGCTTATGCAAGTTCAATTTCAATATAAGGAGCTTGTATCCCGCTTGACACATAGAGCTATGCAATTTTTTCTTCAAAATGGTAGCAGAAGGTCGCAGTGTATCTTCATTCTGCTCTTTCTCAAGCCTAACCAACACAATGAAAAGCAAAAATTTATCGTAGAAAGCTATGGAATCTTACTGTCCATCCTCCTCCATCAGTGTCCATGTCGCAGTATACATTCTGTCCCGAAGAGCCAGCAGCCTTGTGAAACACGGTGTAAACTCCGCTTCTGTGTTGGCCGTTGCGAAGCAGGTCTGCACAGTGTCGAGGCTCGAAGGCATCTGAAAGAAAATAGTCAATAATCGGTGTCTGCACTCTTAATCTCGCAATTCTAGTTCGCTTGTTGTTGCGTGTTACGCAGCTATGGCGGCGCATTTGTTCCGCCATTTTCGGTAACATGGCAGGGGCTCGTACCATTACCTACAGAACGCCATCATTGCTTTAGTCCTTAAATTCCTAGTTTGATATCGAGAGACACCTAACTGGAATAAAAATATTGTCGTTTGAGGTGATTTCAGCCTATTAGGCCGATCAATACATTATATTACGCACTACCGATATCTTGATGCAAGAAGGCAATTGCGAAATAAAGCAGCAACACTTAAACAGATTTAGAGAATAGGGGATGTGTCTTTGGGAGACTAACCCGTTACAATAATGAAGCATGTTTCCATGGCGAGCTTTGGAGACGAGTAGGCTGCAAAATAGAACCGCTGATCCCATGCAAACCGTTTTTTCCTCAACCATCCCTATATTTGTGGTTCTTGTGGCTTCCGGTAGTAAAAAATATTGTGAGGTTACCCTGAAGAGCATTGAACTCCTCCGCTAACTGCCGTATGCGACTTTAAATGCTGTCGTACGAATCCCTTGTCTTCGGTGCAGAGAGCCCGGTCCTTGCCACACCAGCAATGACGAGGACAATAACGGCGGCAGGTGGCATAATGCGATATCACTTTTACCTGCAAAAAGAGGAGAACGCAAAATTTTAAACACATCTGTGGTTAATAACTCTTAATAAAATGACCTCTGAGGTCTCACTGGTGCTGCGCTCCGGTACTGAACTGGATGAGGGCAGCCATCTTGTGGCTAACCTTAGGAGGACTGTGGCCTTAAATCTGAAATCTTTATTACTCTTGAGTGGCCATGGGAATCATTTGTACTGGAAAAGTAGTTTTTTTGTGTTTTGCAGAAAGTCTATTTTGCCTTGTGCTTTGTAAAAACATAATCACGTATAACTTGGCTGCAGAGAGAAGAACTAGGCCGAGCAATACCAGCGACGGTAGTTACTTGACCACTTTCTAACTCTTGAAAGATTCATGTGTTACGTCAAGCCAGCTGGTGATTAGAGTGTTTCATAGTCACCGTCATGGCTGCCAGCTCCACTATAGGTAATGCTGCGATGTTTAATATAACACAAGCCCGCACCCAATGACGTAACGTGTGGGATTGGGTTGGTTGGTATTTAAACTGAGCTGTTATGCATTGTGCCTTTTTTCTGAGTGCATTGTCTAATTTTTATTGCAGTGAGCAGTTTTTCTACACTCTAAAAAAAGAGCGAGTAAAAAGGGTGTCTTTTTGTCCCACAACAATATTCGTAATGTATATTGCGTTCCCTCCTTGCGCTATCGCCCCACGCCCGGTACATTCTGGTGACGATCGACATGCCCATTATCAAGGTTACATTGCATTCTCGATAGGAAAGTGGCCGGCACCAAGTTTTCAAGAAAGCAAGCGCACGCAAGCTTATGACGATTATCGTTATGAGACAGAAAGACACCCTTTTTACTCGATATTTTTAGAGTGTATAAAGTGAATGAAAAATGTCCACTGGAGTAGCTTAAGTACTCCAGCTCAAGCTCAAGTTCAAGCTGGAAGATGGTCCAGCTCATGCTCTGATAGCTCAGATTAGATCATTGTGGTCATCTGTGCACAAGCGGACACTTTTCCCTATGTTCCGCGTGAGCAAATTTCATTTTTAGAGCTCCGAGAACGAAAGATGCCGGAGAACAGGTAATTTTTGTTATTGTTTGCTTTGACTTGTCCAAGCGAGGTGCTGTCACGTTGGCTAAACGCCATTCAGATGCACTTGATTTGTCGGACAAAAAGGGTTCTATATTGTCTATTTAGCTGTAAGCCTGGACTGCCTACCATGATGTCCAGATTTAGGGCCCAGGTCCTCCCAGCCAGCCACGATTTTTAGCGGGTGAGTATTAGCAGAGAACAAGGGGTTACATTAGGGCGAAACAGGCGTGTCGCAGAGCTATTTTAGTATGGATGGATGCTATAAGCCACCCCGACACTTTGTGTCAGGTTGCCACCGGACATGCACTTTTCGAACTGAAAATGCGCCGAGTAAGATGTACGTGTACACTCCGTTTCATATGCTGTTGGCATTCCGGCGGAAGGTACAAGCGTTTTCAGCCAATCATGATGAAGCGTACTACATAATTGTGTTTCTAAGCGAATGTTGCTTCCCTGCATCAGACGGGTGGCCCCGTCTTTGTGGAAAGGTGTGTGCTAAAATAATAAATGCTTAATTTTGTAGCGGGTGCTGCTTCTCACCGTCTGCATCAGCTTTCTTTATTTTAGGGTCGAAGTTCCTGATAGCGGCACCCGTTCGTCCCTTGTAGTAGTAGTAGTCGTCGTAGTGTGTAACCAGTCTTACATTTTGACCTCCAAGGTGGTGCCCGTAGGAGATTTCTTCTGTGCGTTGTTGAACAATAAAAAATTCGCTGCATGCGCGTTAACTAAAAGCTAAATTCTCCTCTTTCGCATTCCCCCTTAGCAGCCATAGGCATGTACATGAGCACTATCTGACAAGAAAGAGTTGCTGCTACGTCATACTCACTGGGTGTAACTTCCTTAGTTTTAGAAAGGTTTAGCAAGCGTTGAGCCGCAGTGCCATGAATACAATTAACTAGTATATACCATGAATTCGAGTTGGTCAAAGGTGGGAAGTAGATACGAAGCGCAAGCCGTAAAACAGTAAAAGCCAAATTCTTCTGTCTCTTATTTCCCATTACCAGCCACTGGCAAGTACATTAAGCACCATCTGACAGGAAAAGGTTGCTACTATATACTCGTTGGGCGTAACTTCCTTGTTTTTAGAAAGGTTTAGCGAGCGTTGGGCCGTAGTGCCATGAATACAGTGAACTAGTATATACCAAAAAGTCGAGGTGGATAAAGGTGGGAAGTAGACACGAAGCGCAAGCCGTAAAAAAGTGTGCGTGTGCCTCCTCTCGTTCAGTCCTTGGAATGTCAACTGGATGGCGGTGCTTCTATATGAGGAATATGTGATGAAAAGTGGCGCGATGGCGGTACTTGGAGTGTCGAATTGGTGGACAAATGGACAAACAGACAGATGCATAGACGGATGCACAGATGGCTGCACGGACGCATGGACGCATGGACGGACGCAGGAGGGGATGCATGGACGATTGCAAGGACGAACGCAAAGATGGACGTGTGGACGCACGAAAAGACGCACGCACGAACGGGCGGAAGGACGCATGGGCGGCCACATAGACGCACGCATGGATGGACGGAAGCAAGAACGAATGGACGAACGGATGCTTCGCCCCACTCTCCATCATTCACTCCGTGGTTATGCTGCCATTGTTTTGGATAGGTCGACAACAGTTATGAAGAAACTCGGGTTTGTCTATTTAGATTTATTGCAACCTGTTCCTATGAGGTCTTGTCATGCTACAGCGTTTTTAAATGTTAATGCAACGGGTATAATTAAATATTTACTTGAATATTTAAGTGAATCAATCTAAATGAATCATCGAGTCAATAAACGAAAGCATCATTCAAATGATAAGTCTGAATGATTATTTTCCCACCGTCACAACTTAGCGTTTATTTTGAGTTTGCAACTTCCCCTGCAATAGCATTGAATGATATCATGCACGCACCAAGTGACGATTGCCGTGAGACTGTTAGATTGGTTCATATCTCATTGTACCAATCGCAAATTGAACCTGGCGTCCACCTCCACAGAAACCGGCGATGACATTGTGCACAATCTGGGTGGCTTCAAGGAGAAATGCATTCTGAGAGCTTTACTTGTACTTGAAGCCGAAGTGATTCAACATCTACTGTAACGTCCTTATGAACACATTCGCTTGCGTCTAGTAATCTTGGAAACGCTGCACCACATTGGCGGTAGTTGGATTTTCACCCCTCTCAAAAAACAAAAAAAAAACGCACGCCATCCATTCAATGACGCTCAGGTCGAAATAATCCAGCCTTTTCGCCCGCTCATGGCACTTTCTGTAAGAATGCTTGTTTGGTGGAAAGGATGTACCCATGATCTCCTCCAGTGAATCTCAACTATAAATCATTCGCTCGCTCAGCTGGGTAGGTTTTGGGGGCGAAGCTCTCTAAGCTGTGGGTCGTGCGTCCATGATGTATGTACGTAGTAGTAGTAGTAGTAGTAGTAAATAGCCACCTCCACATGGCCGGACTAGAGGAGTAGCTCACGTGCATTCTCTTGAATTGAGGAGGAAACCCGCACACGTTATTCATAAATAAAAAAAAATTGTTGTTTCTGATGAAATAACCAACAGCCACGAGTATCGGTGACTTATTCTCCAATAAAACTTGCCTTGAATTTGATGATTACTAAAAATCACAGCATTTCCACAGAGTACATGATGGAGAGTGGGGCGAAGTATCCGTCAGTCCGTCTGCACTTCCGTCCTACCATTCGTTCTTGCTTCTCTCCGTCCACGCGTCCATTCGTGCAACCACCCATTCATCCGTCCGTACATCCAAATGTCCGTCCATTCGTCCGTGTATCCATCTGTCCATGTGTCCGTCTATGTGTTCATCCATTCATGCACTGCATCCCACATGCATCCGTCCTTTCATTGGTCCGTGCATTCTTCCATTCCGGCCGTCTGTCACCCGTTCATGAGCTCTGTCCGTCCGTTCTGCATCTGTCCGCCTGTCCGTCGTGCGTCTGTCCATTCGTTGTCATACATCGAGTGAAAATTCAAGTACTGCCATCTCACAGTCTTTTCATCATACATTCATCATATAGAAGTACCGCAATGCTTCGGACCTTCCAAGGACTAACCGAGAGGGTGCATGGGCTCAGACTAGAAGAGTGTCATGCACGCACTTCTTACGGCCTGCGCTTCGTATCTAGTTCCCACCTTTCACCACCACTAGTTCATCGCACTACAGCCCCAAACTCGCTAAACTTCGCTAAAACCAAGGTAGTTACGCCCAACGAGTTTTACGTGGCAACCCTTTTTGGTCATACACTGCTCAAAGTACGTCCTTGTGATGCTCCAAGTACCGCCAGCTTGCAGCTTTTAATCATATTGTAGCGAATTTAATCATATGGTCGCCAACAATCACACACATTGGGATGCCATTAAGTCCTTCGTCCCCTCACATGTAAAACTGCCCTTCAGAGCACGGCTGGCTTTTCGCCTTTTTTTCTACTATAAGGAAGGCACTCGTCGCACACCATCGACACGATACTTCCGTACAAGCCAGATCCGTCTGACTGTGCACCTATTTATGCTACAGCCAAGCTTGCTGAAGAGTGTCGAGAGCTTGCAAAGACCTTTACTGCGTATGATCAAGAGTGGCCAAAAGAGCATTCGCGCTGACGCCAGCACTACTGCGCCCACGTTCCTTCCGGGAGTGCTCATATGGTTCTCTATCCCTACTACTGCGACTGGACTATCTTCAAAACTATTGCCCAAATACGAAGGCTCATACCATGTCGTCGAACGCATTTCCCTTATAAACTACTTGATTGAACCCATCGAACCATCGTCGGAAATGCGCCGTCGAGGGCACAAAATTGTCCACGAGGAGCGCCCCAAGGCCTACCATATCTGACTCATAGTAACCAGCTGTTAGGTCACCAGGTGGCTCCATTTTCATACCCGGAGTAGTTGTAGCAAAGCCTTAGAGTGATGGGTGATCCTCTCCAGCGCCAACTAGTGGGTCGCCCTCTTCGTAAGAAGAAGAGCAGCTCGTGTAGAGAGTCGGTCCTCACACTGACTGTCACTGTCGTGCATCATGGCCGAGTGTCCGCCAATAAACATCTGAACAGCATAGTCATCATATACCAGTACCGTCATCTAGCGGACATTCCAAGGACAAAACAAAAGGTGGCTTCCTGCTACTACTACTACTACTACTACTACTACTTCTACAACTACTACTACTACTACTACTACATTGGTGACGCACGACCCATGGCTTAGGAAGCTTCGCCCCCCAACAATGTTAACAAGACATAACCTGGCTAATCAGAAATGCATACCTTCCTATTCAAGAAACTTTGCCATAAACGTACCACGAAAAGGCCAACTCCGACATGCAAATTTGCATTAGGAAGGTTTCTGAGACAAGGCGTGAAAACGGGACATGCTTTACTTACTGACGCTCCTGTACACAGCGATTGGCCAACGCGTTGCAGTAATCCTGCAAAACAGCGTGGGCTAGCGGTGCAGGCGCCTTTATATATTCCTCAGAAAATGGAATTAGGGGCAAACAAAAAAGCATGTGAAAGTTGTTGTCTCGTTGCATACCAGAACGAGGAACATTTCATTTATAGCGACCAAAATGAACACGTCCGCTTCAGTAAATACCGTCACATCTACTATCAGGAAGGCAACTTGCGGGTGACTCTCAGTGCCTTTCATATCAATTGATAAAGCTTCGTAGGTTTGCTTTCTTACACATTGAGTACGCAGATAATCAATCTTTTTGTCAGAGTCTGCTCAAAAATTATAGGAATGCACCTATCAAGTCATGCTTTTAATGAGGATTTCTGGTGACCATTCTAAGTGCAATCATATTGTTTCTGAAAACCTAGTCACATATTGCGCCAACGCCTTTATTGACATTGTGGCAAATGATAAGCGTAAACACACGGACATTTTCAACATCACCATTCTTACTCACGTTTGAAAAAAATAAATATATAAAATTCGAGTAAACAGAACTATGGCAGTGCTTAGATAATTACACAGGGCGGACTCATAAGTTAATGTCATAGAACTCTGAACAGATTCAATAAGCTGGCGACAGTTGCAGGTATGCCTGATAAAGGAGTTTTGGTGAAATGCAAAGTGTGGGGATGAACGACCAGTTTCTAAAGTCTTATTTGTTGTGCGTCTTCATTTGTGCATCCAGAAAGGATTCTCTCGGTATAAAATAGGGTTTACGCATAATGCGTTACTCTAACTCTTGTAATCAGTATGAGGACTTCAAATTTACCTACAAGCTTTCTTCACTTTTATTGAGGGGGGGGAGGCGGGTGGCGTCCCAGCTGGTTTTAGGTGACTGCTTCTAGTGGAATTTGAAAATTTGACCCCAGAATTACAGAGTAAGAAGGTAATTTTGCTCGCGAGAGTGGCCTCGTTTGCGAGAAAGGTGTACGGTTAAAGCATGGCGAAGTAACAACTGTAAGGTTTGCTTGTTCACACTCTTCCTGTGCATATATGTACGTATTTTTTGTGTGTACTTTGTGTGTAAGTAAAGTGTGGAGCTGTCAGGTTTGTCAGTCGGCACTTGTCCCATGTGTGTTCTTTTTTCTGTCTTTTGTACATGGGCAGTCCGTTGTGCGTCCCGAAAAGAGTTTCTTTCGAGCTGCATTTTTTCGCTTGAAATTATGACTTGTTGCTGTCGCACTCGTTGCTTTACACTTGCGACAAACCTGTGAATAATTGATTAATTGATTGATTGATGGCCCCTTCTGCCCTGGCGCAACCTAACACTGGGGAATCAGCCATGAAGTGAGCAATGCCTTCCTATATAAAAGAATTTGTTCATAATTTCAAAATGTTAACCTTTGAATTCAATTTATTTGAATAAGTAAAAAAATGACCAATGTGTTTGAAAAATATGTGTGATTTCAATAAACTTAGCAATTCATCTCGGCTCTTGTAGGAAATCGCACATGGCATCGGAAGCGCTTATGGGGAGGACATCTAGCATGGTAGCCCCAAAGGCAAGAAGAACCAAAAAAGATAACATTATAATCAATGATCGAAGCAATTTATCTAGTGTCCTCCCATTTGATTGGTAAATAATATGTGCGTTAGAAAAAAATAAATGCAGTGATTCTCATTGTATAAAAGGTATGAAGGTGAAAACAACAGACCAGAGCTGCGTAGGAATAAGTTCTGGGGGGGGGAGTCAGCATCGTAATATTTTGGCCTTTCTGGAGAAGCACAATCAATTTTTCGCACAAAACTTGAGGTGAGAGAACTCAAAATCTGACAATGGAGGCTCGGCAAAGTTGTCAGACTTGTCCAATTTTTAAAATTGTGCTGTGTTTCTTCATAGTTTTTTCCGTGTTTGTTCACACATATTTTTCAAACACTATATTCTTCAATCACACATACTTCACGCATATTTGTCAATCACACATATTTTTCAAACACATTGGTCATTTGTACTCGCTTGTCCTCGGCCGCTCGCGAGGCCGAGGACAAGCGGGCGAAGCGTGCAGAGGATGCCGAACTGCGCGCTCGCGAGGCCGACGACAAGCGGGCTAAGCGTGCAGAGGATGCCGAACTTCGCGCTCGCGAGGCCGAGGACAAGCGGGCGAAGCGTGCAGCGGATGGTGAACTGCTCGCGAGACCGAGATGAGGCGTCAGCTTCGAGCCGCAAACGCGGCCCAAGAAGCGGAACGACAACGCAAGCGTCAGGCGCAGAAGGGCGATGAAGGCCGGCGTCAAGACGCCGCTCGCAATCGTCCACGGCGAGTGGACATTCCCGAAGCCGTTACAGCCAGTGAACGTGCCGCGTGGGAGTGGGTGCGAGCCCTGGACTTTGCTCGTCCAGACGCGTCGTGAAGTGTAAATAAATAATACTTCGTATATAATGTATCTGTGTACAAATGCTTCATGACAAACAACACTTAAATTTATTAATTACACTGTAATTATCATCATCAGTAATAAAACTACCAAGCATTTCCCCGAGGGTGAACATGGTTAAGTGCGAATGCACGGGGTGATGCTATGAGGGGGAGTAAAGTTAAAATCCGTTGGCATTCGCCAGTGAGTGAACGTAAACTCCCCGTGTGATCGAATTGCGATTCCCAGGAACCATTACACCATAAAGGCACCATAGTGTGATTATTAAATATACTACTACTACTACTACATACATCGCGGACGCTCGACTCAGGGCATCGGGAGCTTCGCCTCCCCCCAAAAAGCGCTTTTGATTCGTAACATTTATTATGTTGGTAGGCAGTGGCTATAACAAAGTATATTTTTGAAAAGTCATTGCGATGAAATCTCCGTTCATTAAACGTCCCCTATTTATGATAAGTCTATTAACAGGTTTTCTTTGCTTATGCACGTTCAATGTCAATGTAAGGAGCTTGTACCTCGCTTGACACGTAAAGCTAAAGACAAATTTTTTTTCAAAGCGGTAGCAGTAGGTCCTAGTCATCGCGCTTTTTCTCGAGATTAACCAACACAATGGAAAAGTAAGAATTTAACGCAGAAAGCTATGGAGCCTTACTGTTCATCCTCCTCCGTCTGTGTCCATGTCGCAGTATACATTCTGCCCCGAAGAGCAAGCAGCCTTGTGAAACACGATGTAAACTCCGCTTCTGTGTTGGCCGTTGCGAAGCAGGTCTGCGCAGTGTCGAGGCTCGAAGGCATCTGAAGGAAAATAGCCAAAAATCGGTGTCTGCACTCTTAATCTCGCAATTCTTGTTCGCTTGTTGTTGCGTGTTACGCAGCTATAGCGGCGCATTCGTTCCGCCATTTTCGGTAACATGGCAGGGGCTCGTACCATTACCTACAGAACGCCATTGTTGCTTTAGTCCTTAAATTCCTAGTTTGTTATCGAGGGACACCTAACTGGAATAAAAATATTGTCGTTTGAGGTGATTTCAGCCTATTAGGGCGATAAATACAATATATTTTGCACTACCGATATCTTGATGCAAGAAGGCAATTGCGAAATGAAGCAGCAACACTTAAACAGATTTAGAGAATAGGGGATGTGTCTTTGGGAGACTAACCCGTTACAAATAATGAAGCATGTTTCCATGGCGAGCTTTGGAGACGAGTAGGCTGCAAAATAGAACCACTGCACCCATGCAAACCGTTTTTTCCTCAACCATCCATATATTGTGGTTCTTGTGGCTTCCGGTAGTAAAAAATGTTATGAGGTTACCCTGAAGAGCATTGAACTCCTCCGCTAACTGCCGTATGCGACTTTGAATGCTGTCGTACGAATTCCTTGTCTTCGGTGCAGAGAGGTCGGTCCTTGCCACACCAGCGATGATGAGGACAATAACGGCGGCAGCTGGCATAATGCGCTATCGCTTGTACCTTCAGAGAGGGGAGCACGCAAATTTTGAAATACAGCAGGGCTTAATAACGACAAATAAAATGCTCTCTGAAGTCTCACAGATGTTGCACTCCGGTACTGCACTGAATGTGGGCAGCCAGCTCGTGGCTAACCTTAGGAGGACGGGGGCGTCAAGGCCGAAATATTTAATATTGAAGAGCGGCCACGGCACTCATCTGTGCTGAAAATGTAGTTTTTTTCATGTTTTCCAGAATGTGTGTTTTTCGGTCGTGCTTTGTAAAAAATTATCACGTATAACTTGGCTGCAGAGGAAAGGACTAGGCCAAGCATTACCAGCGATGGTAGTTAATTGGCCAGTTTCTAACTTTTGTAAGGATCATGTGTTACGTCAAGCCAGCTGGTGATGAGAAAGTTTCACACTCACTGTCACGGCTGCCAACACCACTAGATCATGCTGCAAGATTTAATATTACACAAGTCCGTCCCCAATGAAGTAAAGTGTGGGATTTGGTTATTAGGTATGTACACTAGGCTGGTCTGTGTTGTTCGTCTTGTTTTCTGAGTGCGTTGTCCAATTTTTTGGCACTGATCAGTTTCCCAATGAAATAGATGAGAAAAGTGCCCGCTGGAGTAGCTCAAGTACTCAAGCTCAAGCTGCAGGATGGTCCAGCTCATGCTCTGGTAGCTCAGATTAGACCTTTGTGGTCATCTTTGCACAAGCGGATACTTTTCAAGATGTTCCGTGTGATCTAATTTCATTTTTGTAGATATGAAAACCGTAGAAGCCCGATAA